ATTCTTCTACATATAAAAACAAGATTGATTCGGAACCACTCACAAGTTCTGTTACATTTATGTTATTTTTCCAACTGACAACTATTTAAGATGTTTCTGCGATGTACATGATCTCCAAACTCACGAAAACGGTCAAATATCTTAAAAAATATGTATCAGACCAATATTATGAAAATATATTTGTGAAATGTTTTCGGTAGATGCATTACCAAAATGGATACCCCACTGGGGTGGTGTGGAGGGGGCAACATCGAAATCTTAATTTGGAAGCACCCTGTATACTGCAAATTTGGATTATCTAGGATAAAGGTGCCCCAATATGAATAACAAGGTTTTGTATTTTTGTCTGTTAATGGTATTGTAATGGCATTTTTTAAAAATTCGGTAAGCATTATTTAAAATAGAGATATATCGATATGTTAAGAAATATATGTGAAATCGAAAAATAAAAATAAACACGTTTGAGATTGTTTGAAACCTATCTATTGAAACCAAACTGGATTCCAATACCCCGAGAATCCCACTTTTACACGAGGACTGGAAACAGTTTTCTGACATCACAAGCCTACAAAAAGCTTGACAAATTGACTCTATTCCTGGAGTTAAACTATATTTTGCAACGATAGGCCAAAAATTACCATGTGACGTAAGGAACCAATCATCACGCGCCTGAATCTCGGCCGCATATAAACTATTCGAACTGAAGAGAGATTTTGAGGGAGCTGATTGGTTCTTTTGTCAATGTCATCAGAAACATATTGTTATTTCATTTCACCATACTTGGTATTTGCAGCTCTGGTGCGACGTCAATAAAATACCTACCTCCAACATTATTTCTCTCGAAACCATGTTCGAAATTTAGAAGAATGAAACGAATGGTTGAAAGAATTCGGGTAACTGAAAAATGTATAATGGAATCCCAGAAAATTATGAACCTCACAGACAAAGATCTGCTAGTAAGTATCTATTATAATTATTTAAATTACATAAATTCTTACAAAGATAATATCATTCTAATTTATTGAATAATACTGAAATCACAGTTTAATTGCTTTGATCAATTCTTATAAACAACCAAGGAATAAAAAAAAATAATTTGAAACTGATATTAATCGAATAGTTTGAAACTGATAGTTAACGAATGAAATCAAATTATCGAATTATTTTATTTATTTTTCAGGAATGAATTGAATCAAATTGAAATCACTAGTATTTAAATACAGTATTTTACACACGGCGTTCTCTGTATATCAAACTAAAAATCTGTATTATGTTTAATCTACCAATTTATAACTTGTTTTAAATGCTTGATCTTATTAGTTACACATTTTATTTTATATTTTGAAAATATATGTAATATGTATTATACGTTAGCATAGTAATAGTATCTAATAAAACTTTTTTCGTATTATAAAATCTTTTTCATATAAATCAAAATACTTTTGTTATGTTAATTGTTTGTAAATCTTATTTAAACTTTGAAGTCTCATATATGTCGATCGGACTATGTAGGGGTCAGGGAAATAACCTTGCATCAGAAAGGTTCTGAGTTCGAATTCCGGACAAGTCATGGATGTTCTCTCATTCTCTGTACTATTTGTCTTTACTGTGGGAGAAACGTTGGCCCACCTAATAGGGTGCTACGAAAGAGTGGCCAACAAATCTGCCCTTCAGTTTGTCAATACAGTTGCCTGTATTAGCAAAGGTCATTCCCCAGGTGGGCATTGGAAAAAAAATCTCAAAAATTGGATTTAAACTGCGTAGATTTCATTGAAAAATTTTTGTTCAGCTTGAACGGACAAAGCGGAACAAAGATTTTATGCTCCCAAGGACAAAATTTACTGTTAACCCCTTCTTCAAAGCATCAAAAGCAAAATTTTCATATTTTGTAGAATGTTTGGAAAACTTTTATAAAAAATTGCAGTTATTCCGTAGATAAAAGGATACGTCCCGTGCCCCCCCTCCCTTGAGCGTGAATAGTAAATTTAATTTAGTTAATTTTAAGAGTATGATACGCCTCAAAAATATAACAGAAGGTGTAGGTAAGAAATCCAATCAACGCCCTCAAAATCCCTCTTCAGTTCAAATAGATATTATAAGTGTTATTTTTATGCACCTCGGTCTGATTCCTCGTCATCTGACAATGCTAGGAGAATTGGAGGTGAGCAATCATTTTCTTCTTGTGGCGTCACGCGCCTGACATCGTGTAAATGGGGAGTCAAAAGTTCCGGATTACCCATTAGGTCAGACTTGATCATGGCTTGGGGCCCCCAATGATAAGGGGACCCCTTAAAATGGATTTTTTGAAAATAAATTAAAAAAAATTAAGAAAAATAATGATTTTTTTTAAAAAAAAATCTATTTAAAATATATATGAATAAAATACGATAATTTTTAATATAATGTTAATCATATTCATTTATTACTTATTAAAATTTAATTTAATATTATTTTTTTTATTTTAAATATGCTTTCTTAAATAAAAAAAGATATATAAATACTTTTATATTTGAATAAATAAAAAATAGACGAGAAAAAAAAATTTAATCTAAGGGCCCAAAATTTTGAATGTTCTAGGGCCCCGCGTACGCTTAATCCGGCTCTGGGAGTGGACACATTGGTACTATCTCATTCATCATTCGAAATTATTTCACTTGCGCACTCACGGATTCTTGATGATTCGGTGCATATAATTTTCATCCATCTATATTATTATATAAAACGCTAATACGTACGTATGTATGTATGTATGTATCAATAAAACCGATGATATTTCTTTTCTCGCGCTGGCAACAGTTTTCATTTTTAATTGATTGGATTCGGCGCGCAAGAGCACGTAGTGAGCAACCAGATAACAATAACCAGAGTGAGCATTATCAGGTTGTTCAATTCAGATTCATGCACTAAAAACATAACAATATTTAATTTAAACTCAATTAGGAATTAATTAATTAATGGAAGTGAGAATGCTCTAAAAGTCCGCTGTTGAATTGATATTTTTCTACTGGGAGCTACCTAAACGTCTAAGTGTTTGTATTGAATGCATTGTATTTGCNAAAATTCGGTGAGCATTATTTAAAATAGAGATATATCGATATGTTAAGAAATATATGTAAAATCGAAAAATAAAATTAGACACGTTTGAGATTGTTTGAAACCTATCTATTGAAACCAAACTGGATTCCAATACCTCGAGAGCCCCACTTTTACACGAGGACTGGAAACAGTTTTCTGACATCACAAGCCTACAAAAAGCTTGACAAATTGACTCTATTCCTGGAGTTAAACTATATTTTGCAACGATAGGCCAAAAATTACCATGTGACGTAAGGAACCAATCATCACGCGCCTGAATCTCGGCCGCATATAAACTATTCGAACTGAAGAGAGATTTTGAGGGAGCTGATTGGTTCTTTTGTCAATGTCATCAGAAACATATTGTGATTTCATTTCACCATACTTGGTATTTGCAGCTCTGGTGCGACGTCAATAAAATACCTACCTCCAACATTATTTCTCTCGAAACCATGTTCGAAATTTAGAAGAATGAAACGAATGGTTGAAAGAATTCGGGTAACTGAAAAATGTATAATGGAATCCCAGAAAAATAGAAACCTCACAGACAAGGATCTGCTCGTAAGTAACTATTATAATTATTTAAATTACATAAATTCTTACAAAGATAATATCATTCTAATTTATTGAATAATACTAAAATCACAGTTTAATTGCCCTGATAAATTCTTATAAACAACCAAGGAAGAAAAAAAAAATTTGAAACTGATATTAATGGAATAGTTTGAAACTGATAGTTGACGAATAAAATCAAATTATCGAATTATTTTATTTATTTTTCAGGAATTAATTGAATCAAATTGAAATCACTAGTATTAAAATACAGTATTTTACACATGGCGTTTTCTATATATCGAACTAAAAATCTGTATTATGTTTAATCTACCAATTTATAACATGTTTTAAATGCTTCATCTTATTAGTTACATATTTTATTTTTAATATTTCGAAAATATATGTAATAAGTATTATACGTTAACATAATAATAGTATCTGATAAAACTTTTTTCGTGTTATAAAATCTTTTTCATATTAATCAAAATACTTTTGTTATGTTAATTGTTTGTAAATGTTATTTAAACTGTGGAAATGACCTTGCATCAGAAAGGTTCTGGGATCGAATTCCGGACAAGGCATGGATGTTCTCTCATTCTCTGTACTATTTGTCTTTACTGTGGGAGAAACGTTGGCCCACCTAATAGGGTGCCCCGAAAGAGTGGCCAACAAATCTGCCCTTCAGTTTGTCAATACAGTTGCCTGTATTGACAAAGGTCATTCCCCAGGTGGGCATTGGAAAAAAAGTCTCAAAAATTGGATCTAAACTGCGTAGATTTCATTGAGAAATTTTATTTCAGCTTGAACGGACAAAGCGGAACAAAGATTTTATGGTCCCCAGGACAAAATTTACTGTGTCTTCAAAGCATCAAAAGCAAAATTTTCATGTTTTGTAGAGTGTTTGGAAAACTTTTATAAGAAATTGCAGTTATTACATAGATAAAAAGAAATTCTCTGAAAGTTTATATTTTTTAAAAAATCAATTCATTAGCACTTGAGAGGAATTTTGGTCAGTGTCTCTTGCCCTCCCCTCCCTTGAGCGTGAATGTTAAATTTAATTTAGTTAATTTTAAGAGTATGCCATGCCTCAAAAATATAACAGAAGGTGTAGGTAAGAAATCCAATCAACGCCCTCAAAATCCCTCTTCAGTTCAAATAGATATAAGTTTTATTTTTATGCACCTCGGTCTGATTCCTCGTCATCTGACAATACTAGGAGAATTGGAGGTGAACAATCTTTTTCTTCTTGTGGCGTCACGCTCCTGACATCGTGTAAATGGGGAGTTCCGGATTACCCATTAGGCTAGACTTGGCCATGGCTTGGGGCCCCCAATCATTAGGGGACCCCCTAAAATGGATTTTTTGAAAATAAATTTAAAAAAATTAAGAAAAATTATGATTTTTAAAAAAAAAAAATTCTATTTCAAATATATATTAATAAAATACAGTAGTTTTTTTTTTATATAATGTTAATCATATAAACTTATTACTTATTAAAATTTAATTTATTACTATTTATTTTTATTTTAAACACGCTTTCTTAAATAAAAAGATATATAATTACTTTTATGTTTGAATAAATAAAAAATATACGAGAAAATTTTTTTTAATCTAAGGGCCCAAAATTTTGAATGGTGTAGGGCCCCGCGTACGCTTAACCCGGCTCTGGGAGTGACAGCAGGTGTTGGGGTGGACACATTGGTACTATCTCATTCATCATTCGACATTATTTCACTTGCGCACTCACAGATTCTTGATGATCCGGTGCATATAATTTTCATCCATATCTCCAATACTTTTCGGAAACTCTGTATGTGTTGCATTTACCTTTTCAAAGAGTTCCAGACCGACTGCTTTGCCGTTGTCGACATGATCCTTGATCTTTTCAAGCATTTCCTTTAAGGCTTCGCGGATTTTCTGACCCAATTCAGATTCAATATCATCGGCCATCCTGAAATTAAACCATACGTGATTCCAATCAGTTTCACGCCATTGATCGAAGAAAAGAAGCGTTAAAATGAAGAAATTTCTGCTTAATAGACTGCATATATACATGGATCCATATCTCCCCTTCATGTGAGCCCAATAATATTGTATTACTAAGTATTACAGTATCATACCAAAATAAATTATTTTAGACAAATTAGGGGGTCCACAATGGGTCAGTATGTATGTATATATAGACAGAAAGAAGGCAGCCAGCTTTTATAGACATAATTGTCTCACAATTGTCGGGAATTGTGTAGAAACAAAAGAAACATTTAAGGGCCACAGAGCAACAAAGGATCTTTTTGAAACGGGTTTGTGCCCACCTGTCTCCCTAACCACTGCTGAGTCGAGGGAATGTTTTCTCTTCTATTTATGGTTTGTCTGCCTTATTGCACCATTTACTTCTTTGAGAATTCATTTATATCATCCATGTTAATTATATATGTTGTGAATTATATCTGTTTGAGATTAAACGAAAGTATTGAATTGCGGATGGCAGCGTACCTAATATGGGCTTCTTCTTCCTTCTATGGATAGTCGACCAGGTAAAGCTACGCACAGATAGCTCTGGTAGTTAAAATTCGTCTTAAGACTTCCGGATTATTACTTTCGATTTATTTTTAAGCTTAAACTTGAAAAAGTGTGCCATCAAATATTATTATACTGCACCGTTTGCACTATAATTCGTTCTTTAAATTTGTGTGTTATCAAAGTGTGTTAGCGAATTTAATCAACATGGATAATATAAATGTACTCCCAAAGAACTATCTTAATTAATAGTACAGTTATGTTTATCAATAGTGTAAAAATGCAGAACAACCAACAATAAGTGAAACGGGAAAACTCTTCTATAGTCCATTCCACCTTAAGTTGGCACTGGAGAGAAAGGTAGGTAGACCGGATTACATGGAAACTGGGTTACTCTTTAAATCAGTGCGGGGATGAGGTAGCAACAAAGGGAGAGAAAGTGGCCAGTATTGGCGTTTAAGAAAGCAAAACGCCGATTTTTTTTTTTTTTAAAACCAAGAATCGTACTAAAATTTTGTACATAATACGGAAAAGAGCACGATTTTTTAGAGCATTTCTCATAATTATTATTTTAAGATACTAGTTGTAAGCTGATTTCTTAATTAGTATTTAAAAAGCAGATTTTCTTATTATGATTTTTTAACTAAACGAAACTAATTTTAAACAAAAAAAAATATATATATTTAAAAATATTCTTTTTTGCTGAAATCTAAGTAAAAAAAAAAACAAAATGCATAGATGCGTATAAATACTTTGTTTTAAATATTTAATTTTATATGCTTATTTTTTGTAGATTAATGTACATTAATTTATCCCTCATTGGTGTTTTATTGGGGAAGAAAAAGTCAACATAGGCAGGAAATCATTGATCATGAAAAATATCATACCTATGTTTTTTCAATATTTACTGTTCTTTTTTTTTATAAATAAAAAATTAAAAAAATCTTTTCAGAAAAGTTTTTTTTTTACTATAAAAATGTTTTTTTTTCTGAAATATATTTGCTTCTAAGAGGCAAAAGAACTTACCTGAAAAAAATAATTAGTATTATCCATATGGGGGGGCGTACTGTTTGTTCGCTCCCCCCCCCCATGTTTTCAGCTGCCATATCCCACCCTCTTAGACTCAACAGGAACTCTTTGAATAACATGATAACCACCTATCCTGGTGGTTATCATGTTATTCATTTAATATTTTAACAGTTGACAGTTCCTTTTGAAAACTCTTTGTGGGGTCGCCCCTGAATTGAACTCAATCCACAATTTCTCATCAGGCGAAATTCTACTTGGATGGGTAGGCGCATTTGTTCAAAAGAAAATACATATTTTGAAATATCAGAACTTTCCTTTACTTTTCAGGACCTTTGCAGGTGAAAGGAGGCTTACGAGAAAAATCCGTATAATTTGTTATTTAAGTACAGTAGAATTAGTTAGCCTCGAAATATTTTGTCAGATACTGAAATATCTTAATATTTTCTACATAAGGGAAAGATTTTCTCAGCTTTTTGGGCTTTGTATTTCAAAAATAATTATTAAAATATTGATTGGTTTAAATTAATCTTTCGATGTTTAAAAAAAAATTAATGATTCAAATTTTGCGTCTTTTTTGAAATTATTTCAATTCCTATACTTTTTATTAGTTTATAAGTAACGGATTAACACTTCTATTATGGAAATTGTATTTCAGATAATATTTAAAAGTCCCTTTAATTGAACAAACTAAAAATCTTAAATTTTTACATTATTTAAGTTCCTATAAAAAGCGAATTGTTCTTCAGAACTAAACATGGCGTAAAAGACGCAAAATTTGAATCTTTACAGAGATCGATCAAGGCGAAAAATTTTTTTTCTTTTGTCGTAAAAAAATAATAATAAAATCACATGTTGAATTAGCTACACAGCAAATATGATCAACTGTCATCAGTTTAATAATATACACCTGTCTATTGGGGTGTTGTTGTTGTTGTTTTTTTCTTTTCATTTATTCTGAGGGGAAAAATTTTTTCATTAAATATTGTACAGATGAGGTTAATATTTAGAAAATTAAATAATCAAATACAAAAAAAAACGAAATAAGAACTGCACAAGAGATAGGACAAAGCCAAGGCGAATGGAAAAGCTGACTGACCAGTGTAGAAGCACAGCCAATGAGCCAATTCCTTGTCCTTGAAAACTAATTCAGCGCCAAACTAAAACACCTCCTTCTTCTTTGTACATTCGCTTTACTGAGAAAGTATTTATAAGTTAAATACATTTAATCATGAAAAACTTCTAATGAATGTTTCAAGATATACTTTTCTTACTACGCAACATTTATTTATATTTGTACGCGCATTTAAATTGCAATTAATTTCAAAATAGCGAAGAACTACTTTTCAAAGGCGGAGTATTACATTTCCTACATTACATTTCCTACCTTTCTCTCCAGTGCCAACTTAAGGTGGAATGGACTATAGCCAACCCCCGTAGTGATTGGGAGGAGAGGAGGAAGCAAACTCGTTTCAGGAACCTTTGCTACTGTGCCCCTAAATGCTTCGACCTTTATTCAGAGGAACAGCACTTCATCTTGGAGGACTGGTTTACATTATGTCTATGGAAGATAGCCTTATTTCTTTTGTGTATTTTTTGGTATTTCTTTTGTGTATTTCCTCCCTAGTTGAAATCAAACATCAGTTTACACCCTTTCTTCACCTGCATTCCTATGACAAATAGTTTAGAGTCTTCCTAACGTCCCAGGTGCGTGTTTTGCTCAATACATTAATAAGAGAGAGTACTTCACACTTACTGTTCAATTTCACGGTCTTTTACTCCAAGAACTTCAGAAAGGGATCCGGCGCTGACGGCCCCCTCAAGGAAAGCCAACACTGATTCATCAATGGCAGGGGCTGCATCTGAAGTGAAATAAAAATAATGTGTGATGAATAACTGAAGCTTGTAACTAAAGCACATACACTACAGCTCATTTTCGAGTGCAAGATCAGCACTTTCCAAACGACCCAAATTCGAGAAAAGGCTGTTATGTTGAGTTCTCTAGAGTGTACAACTCATTGTCTTTTTTTAAATTGTCTTCTTCATTTGAGCAAAATTTCCTTTCCCCGCAGCATCTTTTTGAGATTTGCAAAGAATCAGTAGCCACTAGGGGACAGATCTGGAGAGTAAGGTGAGTGGGAAAATCATTCAATTTAACCATTATTTTCATCGATTTGTGACAAAAGGCATTGTCTGTCTACTACTCTGCAATAACTTTCTTTTTGGTGGGTTAACCTGGTAGGGTAGGGCAAAGACCCATGTCCAACAGTTCGTGGGTTCGACCCTCGCCTGCCGAAGACCCGTGTAATAAATGGTGACACATTAAATCGGTCGAGTCGCAAAATCCTCCATGTTTCCATAACAAATCAATACCTCTGAGCGTACTGATCTAACAGTTTCCTTGTCTTCTGGATTGAGTTCAAGTTACAAGGCTACGGAGTTGAACATTAGTAGTCGTAAACCCACAATTGGGTCAGCTGTTCAACGGCGGATATGATATGAAAGGACATTGTCTTGGTAAAACAGAAAATTTTTCTTTTGCATATGAAGCCGTTCTTTATTGATTTCCTCGCTCAGTCGATCCAATAATGCCATATAATATTCGCTATTCATAATTTTATCTTTTTCAAAATAGTCGATGAACAAAATACCATGCGCGTCCTAAAATACGGTGGCTGTTGTCCACTCAACTGAACATTTTTTTGTTTCAGGAGTGTGGTAGTGGATCCATGTTACATCCATTGTCATATACAGACGGAAGAAAGTGTGACCCCCCTTTTTTTTTATCTCACTCTAAAAGTTAAAAACAACGTCTTAAATCGTCGACACTTAGTTCTTTTAGGTTCAATGTGAGTAAACTATACACTCATTTCGAAAGCAACTAGCGTTTCCTCACATTTTTATGTAACATTGTATACACACTACCTTCTGATATACTTAAGGTGTAAGCTATCTTACGCAAACTTTGCTTTACGATCTTGCAAAACTGTTTTATGAACTGTTTTGATATTTTCTGCAGCAACGGTTGATTTCGGACGATCAGATCGTTCAGCATCATCAGTGCCTTTACGACCGCGCTTTGTATTCAGCATACCAGTCAAAAATATTTGATTTCTCTCGTGCAGAGTCTCGATATCGCTAATCAAGTCACTGTTTTGCTTCAGTATTTTTCCCCATCAGAAAACAATGCTTATTCAAAACATGAAATTTCTTTTCATCTATTGTTTAAAAACTACAAAACCAGGGTCTCTAAAACCACTTGTAACCTCTAAACGAATAATCAGAATGTCATGAAATTTTGACAATTATAGTTTGAAAATTGTTACTGTCCAGAAATCATATGGTTCTGTTAGCAGTGGTGCCATTTATGTACTTATGTGTCAATCCGGAGACTTATTGAGTGATGTTTATACACATATACAGGGTGATTCTAAAAAGATGGGCAAAATTTCAGGAAGTGATAGTACACACCCAAGCAAACAATTTTTTATGAAAGAATGCATGGTCGAATACAAAACGCAAAACCGCTAGAGGGCATCAAAGTTTATGTTCTTGTATGAGGCAAAAACACACAAAGAACGATGAAGTTAAGTTATAAAAGCAAATTTAATGGTATGTAATTTCAATAAGTGTTCAAAACAGTTGCCGGCAGCGGCTATGCACGCAATACAACGGCTAAGAAAAGATAGGGCATATCACGAACTTTCCCTGCAGCGGCTGAAAGCTTGGCGACAAGTAACGCAACGCAGTAACTCGCAACAGGAATGGAGCTTTCACGTTTGCATCAAACAACTTTCCAAATGCGCCAGCACCTTTGCGTTTTGTTTTCGACCAGGCATTTTTTGATAAAAATTGTTTGCTTGGGTGTGTACTATCACTTCCTAAAATTTTGCCCATCTTTTTAGAATCACCCTGCATATATACATATAAACTAAACTAAACTCAGTGGCGCGACAGCTCATGGAGCCAAGGTCTACTGTGCTCATTTCAGTTTTCTTGATCTTGGGCTCTGGGGTGCAGAAGAAGGGTGTTCCGGGCAGGTGGTCAGCCGAACGTGGTACCCCCAGTGTTTAGTTCCCAAGCATGCTTGGTATTCACTTATATATATATATATATGTATATATATATATATATATATATATATATATGTTCAATATAGGGTTTTAATATGAGTATTACGATTACCACTATTTGACCAGTCTCAGTGGCTCACACCTGTAATCCCAGCACTTTGGGNTGCGTGTTAAGTATTTTACATCATCTCAGTTTTGGAGACATTTGCTGTCAAAGTTTATATTTTTTGTTGTTGTTTGTTAGCATTTTAAAATGACTTTGCACTAGCATTGACTGTTTTGTATACTTAAAAAATTTAATTGAATATCAAAATGTCATTTTCCTGGCATGTTCCAAACAATATTTCCAATAATAACTAGCTTCAAAACTTCCCATACATTTTTCAAAATCTAATTTTTTTTATCTTATCCTATGTAAGCATTTCTAGAATATACTCAGAGGATATTGTTTACTAGAGCTTCGTTTAAAAAAAAATTTTCTGTCAATAATTTGTTCGTCCCAGGAAAATCTGTCATTTTCCTGGCTACTTTTATTTAGTGGTTTATAACCAAAATAGATAGAGGCAGCAATCAATATCTTGTGTTAATAGATTGATTAGATACCCTCCTATATGAACATGTCTTGTTGCATGAATAAAGAACCAATTTTCTGATTCAAAATCTATATCAAAAAATTTTTCAAGGTGAGTAGGTTTTTGTGTTGTCTTTTTCCTGGCTTCTTGAAATCATTAATAACATAAACTACATAGATTTATCTGAGTTATTTTAAGAAACCCTGTTGTTTTCTGTAGAATGTAAACGTCTTCGGCAAAAATATTAAATTAAAGTAAAGTTATATGCCATAAAATGGCGAATTTGTCATTATCCTGGCTGTCATTTCCCTGGCTTATGAATGCCAGGACATTGAGGTGCTGCCAAAAATTCTTTTTAACTGCTAATACTATAAAGAGGAAAAGCAAATATTAACCTAATACCAAGTTTATGTATGATTGTAATATGCTTGGATGTAATCAAAATTATTTATTTATTTAATGATTGATTATTATACACAATTTTATTATGTACATATCAGCAACAAAACTTTTTTTGTTTCTTTCTACAGTGGATAAAAAGAATTAATTTAAGCAATTTATGGTTCATCTAACATAAAGGCTTAAGTTGAGTTACTCACTATTAACTTAAAATGGCTGTTTTTTAAACTTCTAAGTTAATATGTCATTTTCCTGGCATTCAAGATTTGGTGAATTTCTATTTTATTTTTTTTCTCGAGCAAATTTCAATAAACTACACTGCTGTCTGTAGGATATTAATAAGCGTAGCTAAGGAAGTATACAAAAAAAATTTTAGATTATTTTGAAGACTTTAAAATTTGAAGAAATTTTTTGGAGATTTTTTTATATATGGAATTATTTTGGAAATTTTTTTATATATATATATAAAATAATTTTTTGGTATTTGCTAGTAGTTTGATAGTGAAAGAAACTTTTTTCGTTTCATTCTGAAATAAAAAATAAAAAAATTAAAAAACGAAATTTGCTCCATCTTCTTGCGTTTTCTAAAGTGAAATTAGTGCTTCGAATTTTAAAAAGTAACAAAGAAAGCTCCCGAAACATATTTTCTCTGAAAGACGATCCCAGAGAAGTTTTTTTTTTCTATAACGAAATATATTTTTATTTCTCCTAAACTATTTTAAGAATATAGGAATAAAAGAACATTCATGAATATTTCAGGATTTGAAAATTCAGTTCAGGTTCTTCGTAGAAAAGAGGAAAAAAAAGGAATGAATTGAGTTCGAAGGCTCAGGATTTGTTCTGGTGAGCATAGGAAAGGTTGTTTGGATTCACTGTTTTTTTTTTATTATTTTCTTTTAATGTTTATTTTTGAAAATGAAAAAATGAATTGTTTTTAAAATAAACTCATACATGTATCATACAGAGAGCAATATGAACTCACCCTGAAGTAAATCAGCGGCTGCAAAGCCAATAAGACAGGCTAGCAAGAAGAGCTTCATGTTTCTGGAAGAAAAAAAAATCATAAATTCAGTCAACACATTATAGCAGCGTATCCCAATTTTTTTTTGGCTACTATAAATAATCAAACTTCTTTCTGCTGAGCTCCAACTTTATAAATAGAGTTGAAAGGTAATTGTGAACATTACAACCTATAAGAGACTAAATTCAAAATATTTAATTAGAGGAATGATGATTTTTCATCGTTTTATCCTTCATAATCTTAATAAGGTTTTATGTCTGATTGTTAAATTTGCTATCCTTATGCTATACCTAAGTCTCGTTATAAATTTGTTATTGGTGTGTATATACATGAGCTGAAAATAATTAAAATAAGCTGCATTATGGTTTACTTCGAAAGGAAAACTTAAAAGAACTAGTACAAACGATGTTATTATGAAAAATTATTTCTTTATTAAAAAATTAAAAAATTTCGATTTGAAAAAAAAAAGGATGAGAAATACTAATGCAATATTTTAAAATTATTTGCTTTTTCAAGATTTTTTTGTTCAATCATTGATTCTAGAAATTTTATATTTTCCTTAAAAAAATGTCATTTTTATTACATTGGCATTTTACTTGAAATAATTTCATAAATGCAACCGTCATATTAAATAAATCACGAATTAAAGGTTGGATCGAAATTGAGTCAGAGATTTTAAAACTCATCATTGGTTTTAAAAAGTGCAAACTCGCGGAACTCCTTTAACCTTTTGCCTACGGCTGGTACAACATGTGGACCACATGTGATGGTACAACCTGATATACCGTAAGCAAAAGGTTAAGTGTTCCACAGAACTCTAGGGTTCCGTTGAATACCATTTGGGAACGGCTGCTTTAGAGTGCGATTTTTTTCTCGTAATGTAATGTATTTTTTTGGATTGAGATTTATTTATAAAAGGATTTCACTTAGTTTATAATTTCTTTCATTGTAAAGTGATTTATTACAGCAGGAAAGGAGGTGGGATTTAAATTTCTTTTCAAATGTTTATCTATTGTTTAGAACTGGCCTTTAACCTCTGTTGTGAACTGCAAATAAACTTAATGATATGGATTAATTTGAAAATCAGTCCTTTAAACCCTTTAGTTTTTCGTTATGCAAATGCCACATATTAAAATATTGATAAAGTATGAGATATGAAAAAGCAAGACTTACCGAACCACGATGCTCAGAAATCAAATGACGTAGCAATTTCGATGTGTTTAGGAGTATATAAACTATTTTTTATCGGACTCGAAGGTTTCTTAGGAATTCAACAGGTGCTGATAAGGCTGAAAAGAAGTATCTTCTGCGATAGAATAAAAAGGAGCGTGAGAAAGGTACCATTTGAAGAAAGGTTTCGAAAGGAGGATTTTACTTGACTGTTTCGAATCTTGTAGAAGAATTCAATGCACATAGAGAACATTTTGCTTTCACATTACTCCGTTATCATTAGGGTTGCAAGTTCTTCTTCTCTGTTGAATCACCAGAAATTATTATAATTTTGCGAGTACACAAAGTCAAAAAAAAATTCTACAATATTTATGGAAATGTTTGAATATGTAGTACAAATCACTCACTCTCTCTCTGTGTATATATATATATAAAAAGAAAAAAAATTAATGAACTTTTATTTAAAAAACCGGAAAAAAAAGCTGAAAAAAAAAGATATAATCTTTTCTTCAGCCCACACGATTATATCCGCAAAACAGAGTGCTTTCTGATATTGTATCAATAAAGCCAAAGCAAAATATATTAATACAATAGTGTGAGGAGCACTCAAAAATTTTTTTAATAAAAATAACAATANTATATATATACATTGTATTGAAGTATTCTATCTTATTGATGCGCTTTGGTATGGCTATATTCATATAGCAAAGCACTTTTTTTTCGGATATAATCCTGTGCGCTGATGACGAGATTATATCATTTCCTTATTTTGTTTTCCGGCTATTTAATTTTTTTAAAAAATATTTTCAAAATTATTTTATTATAAAATTTTTTTCTTCTGTTTTCATTAATATTTTTTAGATTATTTTTCACGTTTTCTCCATATTTTAAACTTATTTTATGACTTCTATCTATCTATCTATCTATCTATCTATATGTGTTTGTTTACATAATTTTCATTAAATCAAAATGTTTTTTTTTTCCTGGAACCTAAAATTTAACAACCTAAAAAAAAGATTTCCGTCTGCAAAATTTTTGTCGACTCAGATTCCGCAGCTCGCATATAATTCATTTGCTTTAAAATAATAAAACGCAGCCACTTCATAAAAAAAATCTTGTGATGTTAAGTAATATTAATCCTACTCACAAAAATTTCTATTTATGCTGAAGTAAAAAGAAAATTGAAGAAAAAAAGAAGTGGGAAAAGTTGTTGATGGAAAAAAAAAGAAGAGGAAAAGAATGAGCCGAAAAGCTACGAAGTGTGCAGTCAGCATATATGGGAACAATACTTTTGAAAAGTAACCAGTAAAAGTACTTTATGCGAGAGTAACGAGTAAAAAGTAGAAATAAAATTACAATTACAAAACAAATAAGTAACGATTTTCTATTACATTTCGATAAAACCATAAATTCAAAATAATCGTAAATTTCATTAAAAAACGTGAGAAAAAATTATTTAAAATGCATTACAATTTAATTGAAAGGTATCAAACTTTAAAATGCAAGAAAAATTCCATTGAAAGAGTGATCGTTGAAAGAAATCAAACGAGAAATCAAAATTCAATGTCTGCATATAAAAAGGATTTTATAGGATGCTCAATTAAAAACTTGTAAATCTTTAGAAATGTTGTTTTTACTTTCGGAATTTTTAGTCTCAAATTAATTTATTGAACAAATTCGATAACATTATAATTTTTGTTTCAAGAAATAAGTAAAAAAAAAAAAAAGGTGTAAAATTCAATAAAGTAAGGGTTTTCCTCCAGCAGTCGCCTTTTTCTTGTACCAATCTTTAAAGATGTTTGGAAAAAGAAGTTAGCTGTTAAAGAAAATACTACATTTAATTTATAAATTAAAAAAATAAATAAATTAAAAAAATTTTGAAAAAAAAACTTTCTAAAAAGAAAAAAAGAAAAACGATTCAGAACGATTTCAGAAAAAAAGAAAAACGATTTCTTTGGACATTCTAATACTTGTACTTTTCCACCCAAGAAAGTAACGAAAAAACAAAAACGAAACAAAAGTGGGTTCAAAATTACAAGATCATGGAGTTGAACATTAGTAATCGTAAACTCAAAAAATTGGGTAGGCTGTTCAACGAAGGATGTAAAAAATATATACAGTCAGACCTCGATATAAGGTCACCCTAAGGGACATCGCAAAAGTGATCTTATAAGCGGGGTGACCTCTTAACCGATTCATTAGCAGTTCGTTACTAAGCACGTAAATAGTAGGTACACATTAAGACTTTTAAAAATGTTAATACAAACGAAAACAATTAACCATAAATTAAATGTTTAAGTCAATAAATTTTAACAGGATTAATAAAAAAATAAAGAAAGTTAGATTTAAAAAATAATTTAATTTACAATAAAGCTGTTTACAAATTTCCTCAAAGTGCACATACATACATTACATCTTACCTTATTTAAAATAATCATTTATGCAGGTCTGTCTTGTTTTTGGTTTCATTTTTTGAACAATGTTTTCTAGATTTTGCAACTTATCAAAATGTTACTCAGCTCCCTCATGATTTGTAAAAAAATTTCGTATCACATTTATTGCATTGGAGGTTTTCACATGGGTTACAGCTACAGTCTCAGGATCACTATCATTGTCCTCACTGACCACAACTTGTGAAACAATTTCAGAAATTGTAGCTTGTTAGTTGGCTGCAACATTTTCCTAGAACTCGAGAGGGTTAATTGCCTTGTAAGGAAGTTAAATAGGCTTTTGTTAGAAAAGAGCTTCCCTCGTCTCAGATAAAAATGACCTTATAAGCGATAACGATTTTTAAAACTTGACCACATATCCGATATTTTGTAACAAAGGATTCCTATTCAGTGAGCCGGGACTTTGGAAAAGTGACCTCATATGCGGGGTGACCTTATATGCGGATGACCTTATATCGAGGTCTGACTGTACATTTATAGAACGTTTGCAACAACTAGGAGATATACTTATAGTCTAAACCCCTGTTCGCTGTGCGGATTTATTTTAAATACAATTGTTGCATTCATCCCTTTGTGCATGACTTAAATTCTAAATCATTTAACCAATCGCTTTAACCGTCATTCATAATAGTTTATTTATGTAATTTGCACCAAAAAATAGTAATTGCAAAGCGGTTACTAAGATAAGAAACCAAATTAAATAACTTTATCTTAAAATGTTACGCAGAACCGCATTATTTTAATAATAATAATTATAGAAACTATCCTCCTAAACTCTTAATCTAGAAATCAAGCAAAATCAACAAAATGTAATAATAACATTACAGATAATTTAAACCTTTAAACGCGGGAAACAAAAATATTTATAGGAATATATTTATGCTTTATATCAATTTTATGCTGATGACAAACCAAACCAATATGAAAATTATTGTAGGAAAACTGGATCCTACCATGTGATTTTCCAGTCACTGAAATTGTATTGATAACAATGAAAAACTGCGGCACCATCATTAGATTTCTTTATATAGTAATAAACAGCCAAAATTCGGCCCTAGTTGGAGGGTAGGCCATCTACTGAAATTACGGTTGACAGTATAAATCTGACGGAATTTCCTGACTCCGTTATATATAATGACGAGTTCAGTTTAGATGCTTTTACCTAAAGATGACCTCTTAAGAGTCATCATCAAACTAATGGTCACCGCGAAAAGAATATCATTTCTTCAGGCAGTAAAAGTAACGAGAAGGTGAAAGAGATGTTGCCACTAAAAGTAATACTTGTGAGGAAACGTTCATCCTACTGAATTGAGGCCTATTCTTGAGACAGAAAAATGTTTTGTTGGGAGAATTTATCCAAGAAAGTCTATTTTAAGTTTTCATAGGAGAAAAAGATGTATGCAAAAATGATCACATCAACGTAAAATGAGTTTTTCAGGAAAAAATATCTCCCGTGTTTTTTATTTATTTGCGTAATATTTCTGGAATTTCGATTCGTAATTCGTGTGTTGATAACCACAATTTAACCGTTGACTCCATTTTGAATTTACTACGATTTAAGTTCAATTCCGCAACCTAGTAACTTTGCACCTAACCCAGAAGATAAGGGACCTCCTGGATCAAGTATTTGTACAAAATAGCCTTAATAGGGTGCACTTTAAGATGCAACGAACCCGTATTTGTGTTACCTGAAGAAAATCACGTAAACCTCACATCTGTCAGCTACTTTGAATTTTTTCTACTTCGAATTATTTACTACTTCAAAGATATTTATATTTTACGTCATCATTGTGATCGGTGCAGGCCGAAAGCAGAATTCGTATCGATCAGCCATCGCTGTGATTCGAACCTGAGTCACTTGATTGAAAGGCTCTATCCCTTGAGCCAAAAAGGTAGGTAGGTATGTTATTTATGTCGCACTAGAGCTGCACAATGGACTATTGACGTTGGTCTGGGAAACATCCCTGAAAGTGATCCGAATACACGCCATCACAACTTTGATCCTTTGCAGAGGGGATGGCTCCTCCGCTTTGGTAACCCGTGCGAAGACGAGCATTTTACAATAGAACAGTTTAACGAGGACCGCACACCCGCGGTCCCTACGTAGGCTGATCAAAGTGGTCACCCACCTGTTTACTGACCGCAGCCAGTGATGCTTGAATTCGGTAGTGTCTTTATGAGCCACCAAGACAAAGAATATACACATAGTTTGTCTAAAGTTAGAACTCTCCTAGACATTCGTCTGGATCCGTGGTAGTGACTACGGTAACGAGGTATAACTATTTCAAGTAGGGGTGCGGGGTCATTGCTTAGGACAGGTTCTTGGCTCTGGTCTGTGAAAGAAAGGGAATCTTTTTCTTCGGTCTACTGTGTTAACCCTAGAGTGAAGAGAAGCTACCCTCCCTGAAATGCACTATTCTTGTTTCCATAGCGACAGATAGCCTCAGACTTTGTGGTGGGGACAGTTCTTACCGTAGACAGACTAAAGGGGAAGAAGGCTATCTTCCTACTAATAATGTAAACCAATTCTTCAAGATTTGTCTATAAAAGAGACATTCAGGGGTGGAGCAGCAGAAACGGGTTTTCATCTTTCCAAACACTACAACTGGAGTGGATGAGGAGAAGGAAAAATTTAAAATTTTATTTA